CTGGCCTTCTGAGAACTCTAATTCGGATTCATTTGTGGATTCATTGGATGTTGACAATGAAGAAGGGTTTGAAGACACTCAGTCAGGATAATATAGAATAGATTTGGAGACTGAGTGGTCTAGGATTTAGGGGGAGTCTTAACTTTTGGCATTACTTCGGATTGTTTTTGTATGTATGCCATGTTTTCTCTGTTTTTCAGTATTTTGAGAACAAGGATCCTGTGTCTGAATATTTTTCGGAGTTAAGACTTAATTTTAATAATTCCGCTGTGCATTGTTTTTCGTTGATATGATGTGTGCTTGTGAATCTTGAGAGAATCATTGCAGGATGGCTTGAATTGACAAATTGAATCAAAAAGGGGGAGATTGTAAGTGCACTCTATACCAGGAGATCAGATAAGTGCACAAGTTGCCGGAACAGGATTGAAGCTGTTCTTGGATACAGGAGTAATGACCAAGCAATTGTTGCTGACGTGGAATAGGCGCCAAATGAATGAATGACGTGGTGATCACAATAGAATAAGTTCAGTTTGGCAAGAAGATATTCGATGGAGATTTGGAAAGATCCAAGATCGAGAAGACTAAACCTAGAAGATTCGAAGACCTCGTGAATATAAAAGGGGTGCTAAGGCTCTTGCTAGGGTTAGCCGTTTTTGTGAAGCAAAAAGGTAGTGCAAGCTTTTTTGTTCTGTTAGAGAGTAGGCGTTACTCTGTTTGAGTTACAAGAGAGATTAGAGAGTGTGTTCTTGTAATTCTCTTGTGAGTCTTAGAAATCTCAGGTGACAAGCTAAAAGTAGTTTTAGGTCTTGTGTAAAACCAGTTAAGAGAGTTGTAACTTCTTAATCAGATTTCTAATAAAGTAATACTCAGTGTTTCTGAGTTTGGGGAATACGGTTCTGAGTTCATCCAAATTTCATGGACTGAGTCTTTCTCTAGTTATAGTGGAGATATTATGTGTTAATGAAAGCAAATTTGTATACATAGTACTTAGCAAGTGCAAACTTCAAGACATACCGGGTAAGGTTTCTGGTTTGAGAGTGCGTCTGATGAGCAAAGGTGGCTGAGGATAGAGACGAAGGACTTCTACAACGATCAGTCGTATGTACCTACAGAAGCATGGAACAAAGCGGTCAACAAATTAAATAGAGACCAAAGGAAAAGATGAAAGAAGATATCTTTCGAGTTAACGTACTCGAGGTTTTTCATTGATTCATAAGTGGGTGGACCTTGACCAAGCACAGCATCAATCTCAGCTTGAGCTTTCCTAATTTTTTCAGGATTCTGCAAATTTAGAAGAGAATTATAAGACTATACAATGAAGTTTTAAGCAGTCATGGAAAAAATGTAAACGACTCTTAAGTGCATACTTGTGACAAAAGGAAAACAGCCCAAGTAAGAACTGCTGCTGTTGTCTCATGACCAGCAATTAGCATAGTCATCAAGTCATCCCTCAGCTGTTGAAACAATTGTGTGAAAAATAATGAATCAAACTTAAAAGAGGAGAATAAACTTTTTAATCAGAAAGTGATAAATCTTACCTGCCGGTCATCAATATCAACACCACGCATATCGACTAAGAACCGCAAAAGACTTGCATCCTAAGAATCCAAGAGTACACAATCAGAGGAGTTTCAGAATGGGATTAAAAAGGGAAGGATTTTTTTAACACTTGTGCGAGATAAACCTTGAGATTAGAGTAGTCCCTTTGCTGGAGCTTCTCCACATCTGTTTCCTGGGAAAACAAATAACAACATGAGAACAGAACAGCCGAACCACGAACAAAAAAAAGAGTGAAATACCTGTCTTGTCTCTTTAGCATTTTGAATGAGGCCATCAAGGCAGTCGTTTATAATCTTCAGATCGCTTTGGAACTTCCGTTGCCTCGGAACTATCCATCTGGCTGGAGGAAATTTCCAATAAGGGAAGTAGAAAGTAGACCGATGCTCTGCCTCGAAAAGAGTTCCATAAACTGCCTGTGATGTAACAGAAAATATCAATGGACCAATGTACCTCGAAAGACTAGTGGAGAGCCAATTCAATAGTATAATAATTACCTTGATCACAGGGGACTCCTTTGTGACAGAGCCAAAGTCGTAGTTGAACACGCTAAGACCTATAATATCAAGAGCTAGACTCGAGAATTCTGCTTCCAGATCCAACTCAATTGTGTCCTCCCCGCTTGAAGTTTCTTTCTCCCTTAAGAGTTTCTCAGATTTCAAAATCATTTTCTCCGAACAGTCACTAAATACTTTGACCATGGCCTCTAGATACAATTTATGAAATGCGGGAGTGATAGCTACAACAGATATTGGAAGGAAACAATCATTAGTGCCATGGGCTTATGGTACTGCAATATCAGAAGAAAAAAAAAAAGAGATTACAACGTGCTTTTACCTCTTCTTCTTAACTTCCAGGTATCAAGGTCAGCCGGTATTAACCCTTTTCCCATAATCGGCTCTAATATCTCAGCAAGAACTCCCTAGAGAAACACAGGACACATTACTTGATGGTAACGAAGATAGCCAAAAGAAACACTTATTATTCCATCGAATACTCAGTTACCTTGTCATAAGAAAACGCGTTTTCCCGAAGGACATGCCTTGCAACAATAGGATCTGAGATGACAACAAAGGCTTTTGGACCAAACGCAAGTTTATACACTCCTCCATGCTTAAGTTAAGAATGAAACACAGTTGTTTATAAGGATTAAACTTCTTCAAGTAAAGCATTGAGAAGTATTCACATTTATATACCTCCAAGAACCAGTCATAAAGAGATAAAAAGAGAGGCTTTCCAAACAAATCAGAGACTGCGCCTTCAGCAGTAGGCATTGACCCCAAACTTCCACCACTTAATAAATTTGTCAAAAGGTTGCTCGCATTGTCCAATATGTTACCACTCGTCTTTGGCCTCATAGATTGGCACCTATAAATGTCTCACCACAAAAACCAAACTCAGTTTACTACAATTATACCATTACCAAAGCTCTTATCTGGTTCTGAATTTCACAACCCACATTAAAAAGCTTTCGAATTGTTTCAGCATCCGTCAGGTTTGTGTCCATCTCGAATCACATCGTCTTAAGCTCGTAAAGAGAGTGATCGATAATTAAGCCCTAATCTTCTTTGATTTTTTTTTATATTGTTTTGGATTCGAATGGGTATTTTCAACTCCGGTAGTACTATGTTCGTCGAGAAGCACATGAAGAAGATCAAAGCTCTTCAAAAGGTTATAGTCAAGTTAAACAGGGTATGTTTCATCTCTCGAATCCATTTTAAGATATATTAACGAAGGTCTAACATTTGCTACATTCAGAGGAGCTGGACATTCAGTGCCTTCCTTCAAACCAAGCAGCTCTCTCGCGTTTTTCTCGGCGTTTCTCAAAGGGCTTCCTCTGCCATTGACGCAGTAGAAACGCAAATAAGAAATTAAAAAGATGATTTGCTAATCTAATATTAAGTCTTCGAAATTTCAGAATATTTGAAATATTTTGGGTTTGGTTTACATTAGCTTGTGAGATGGATTGTATGAGAAAAGATGTATGTTACTATGTTACTTTCTATGTGATGATCATAATGATCAAATGAAAAATCGCCAACAAGATTTTGGAATACTACAAATTTAGCGTGAAAACTGAGAACACATAGACATCATCTTCCACAAGATTTTCGTTCTCCGAGTCTCAAAACAATTCATTTGAATTATGTTAATTACATACATTATCTTCTTATTAATTGTATTTATAGTTAAATCTTATCTACATCATAAGTGAATAACTAGTTTACGAGAAAAGTTAGCAAAAATACTCTATATTTATTGTCCACGAACACACTATTTATGATGAGATAATTCATTTAATTTTTTAGAGGAAAGAAAGATCAAACCTCTTTAACTAGGGACACTTTCTGCATCATAGACCAGCTTTTATCACCCACTGAATTTTACGAATCACGACTCATAATTAAAAATTTTATTACTGAATGTTATAAACTTATAAACGAAAATAAAAACATATTAATCATCAAAACCGAACAAAAAAATTAAACTTTTGAGCCCATATCTTATCATTGTAATAACATTTTAAGTAAAAAAGTTATTAGAACTAAAACAAAAAAAAAACATATATCTAATTTTTAATGGCCTATAAAATTTTGGTTCATAATCCTTGGTTTATGTTACTTATTATACCTTGGTATATGGTAGACTGATAAATGAAAATATATCCAATGTGAAAGCGGGGCATAGAAAATCCGAAAGTGACTTCCCTCTCACTCATCAAACAAAGTTGGAGGCTATGTCATAACCCATAACCACTAAACAAAACCACTTTTCTTTTGTTTATTTGCTCTCACATTTTCTAATTAAACATGTTTTCAAATTATTGCCGAGACTAACAGCTGTCAAGTGAACTACGCAAGAGTAAAACATGTGCATATTTAAGACTAATCAAATGAACAAAAGATTATGCATTAAGTAAAAGTATATATTTTAGTTTTGACCAACGTGGTTTAAATCTCTCAGTTATTAAATTATTCCATCCGTAGTGGTATTATCAATTCGTTGTTTGGTAAAGTTCTTACACACTACTCGGTTGAATTCTCAAGCCTGATAAAAAAAAAAGGAGAAATTAGGTCCATTGGTTACCACCAATAAACTTCTTTTACTTTGGACCATGATGTAAAAAAGGGCTTCATCCACGAGTCAATATACGAACTCATTCGAATTTATCCCTATAAAATCTTAGTTTTAAAGATGAATTGGTATAAACAACAAAAAAGAAAATGGAAATCATTCGACCACCTCAATAAACTAAAGCCACCAATTATCACATTATAGTCTTCCATATCCACTTAAATAAAAAAATAAAAGATTAAGAGTAAACAAAATATAAATAAAATTTCATATGCACATCGGAAACTCATGATCTTAGCTTTTAAATAGACATCTAGTTTTAGAGTTTTCTTAGGTTATAAATAGACATATCTTGCGTAGATCTTCTTCACAACTAAAACCTCAAATGGATAAACACACTAAGAGCATCTCTAGTCTATTAATTTCTTTGTGGTTAACAGCTCTTTTAATAGTAGTCGACGTGGTTACATGTGCGAGACAACATCATAAAAGTTTCTTGGCCAAGGAGGCAGATCTCGTGACAGATTTGCCCGGACAGCCTGATGTGAGTTTTAAACACTATGCCGGTTATGTTCCTGTCGATAAATCCAACGGAAGAGCTTTGTTTTATTGGTTCTTTGAAGCCATGGATCTCCCCAAAGAGAAACCTTTAGTTCTCTGGCTTAATGGAGGTAACTCAATATCATTATATATATATTTTGTAATGATAACATGTGAAATAGTAGAGTGATTATCTATTTATTTATTTTTGGTAAAACAGTTATGCTAAGTTTGTCGTTTTTTCTTTTGTTTTGTTGTCTGATTGGTGAATATAATCAGACTTTTTGTTATGTATATATGTAGGTCCAGGGTGTTCTTCTGTGGGATATGGAGCAACACAAGAGATTGGTCCGTTTCTCGCGGACACCGAAAAAGGACTTATATTTAATCCATACGCATGGAATAAAGGTAATCTTGTTTTGTACGTAGTATAAAATAGTACTATACTTTTATCATGATTTACAATAACTAAATCATAAATGATCTGCTTGTGCAGAGGTTAACATGTTGTTTTTAGAATCTCCCGTCGGCGTTGGTTTTTCGTATTCAAACACAAGTAGCGATTATCTAAATCTTGACGATCACTTTGCAAGTAGGTCTATTATTCAATTTGATGAAGATTCACTTTTATAGTTTTCTCACATATTATAAATATTTTATATTGTTTTGTTTATAATTATTTTTATTTTCTTAATATTTAAATATAAGTTTTTCACAGTAAATAAAAAGTACTGTAAATTTATTAAAATACCCTCTATCAATATTTTATTAATATTATCACTGAAAAATATATAGAAAAATTATTTAAAACAAAATCAGTTAAAAAGCCCGAAAACACAATATTCATATAACAGAGAGAGTAAACGATCAAGGGCAGTTGGTACGTACTTGAAAATTTAAAGTTTAGGCTTTTTTTTTGTTAAAAACTCTAAAATAACACCAGTTTGATTATTAATATATTGATTCGTATATAATAAACTTTTACATATCGCCTTTGTAAATAAATTTTCTAGTTCCGCCATTGGCTACCACTATAAACAAAAACACGTCCATTAGATTAGTTGATTCTAGGTTTTGGCTCGGATGTTTAACACATGGCGTGTGCTTATACCCAACGAGCATCTACACCGCATCATAAGTCGGGTCTTTTAGATTCGGATCACTCAAGTTAAAATATAAAGTGGATAGATTTTTATCGAACATATATACATACTTTAGTTTAGTAGACATAACTGTATGTTTTAATTTTTTTTTTTTTTTTTTCTGTATGTTTTAATTTGTTTCTTTTCTTTTCTGCCATCAGAAAAAGACGCATACACGTTTCTATGTAACTGGTTCGAGAAATTCCCAGAGCTCAGACGAAATGATTTCTATATTGCAGGCGAAAGTTACGCAGGTTAAATAAAAATCATCTTATCTTTCGTTTTAACTTTTAACTAATTTTTCTAATTCGGTTTTATAATTTATTTTGGACAAACGTGTATATATTTGCAGGAATATACGTACCCCATTTAGCAGAGGTTGTGTACGATAACAATAAAAAGAACAATGATTTGTCGCTTCGCATCAATCTTAAGGGTTTTTTGGTAAGTTTGAATCTCTCCATACTATCTAAGTGTAAATAAACCAAGTAGTTGCAATCGTATAGATTCTTCCCCCATAAATTTTGATGTGTTGAGAATTCTAAATCGTGACATAAATCCTAGTCAGGGCGTAACTGAGCACAGCCGGGTGAAACATTCGTGTTGGGGCCCCAATTTTTAACGAGTAATATGTATAGATTTTGGGGGCCCCAAACAGTAATTTTTTGTTTATATATAGATTATGAGACCTCCAAACCGTAATTGTTTGTGGCCTCATAACTCGTAGGACCGGCCCTCCTAGTCATATATATAAAAGAAGACCATTATGCTTGTACCTAATTGATTTTGAGTTGAAAATCCGTATATTATAACCATATATTCAAATTCAATCCGTCCCATTTTTTCTTCTTTTTGCTATCTAGTTGGGGAATCCTGATATATCAAATTTAGATGATTTGAGAGGCTGGGTGGATTATGCATGGAGCCATGCAGTGATATCGGACGAGACACATAGAATGATAAACAGGTTGTGCAATTTTAGCAGCGACGATGTTTGGAACAAAGGCGAGTGCAATGAAGCCATAGCACAAGTTGACAAACAATACAACGAGATTGATATCTATAGCCTCTATACCTCAGTTTGTAAGGGGGATTCTCCACAATCATCATACGTCGCATCAGCACAATTCAAAACAAACTATCACATTAGCTCTAAGAGGGTATGTGTATAATTTAAAACCTTACATAAACCAATTCTTCCCCGTATCATTTTTAAAAAATTTCCACACATTAATTACAAAACATATTAAAACTCAATTACATCTCTGGAAAGAATTTCACTATTGATATTTTTGTTGTAGCTAAGATTCTTTTTTTAAAATTTTATTTGAAGTTAAAAGTAGATATTTTGCGCCAAAACTTTCATTGAAATCGAAAAACATTACTTATTTTGAAACACAAAAAAAAAAAAAAATCGTAAACAACATTTTATTTGAAAAGTAAGAAGCATATATGATCCTTCAAATTATTAAAAATTTTATATACTAACTGTATATGAAACTTAAGAAAATTTCTATTGTTTGCATGCTTTTTAGATGCTGCCAACTAGGCGCTTGGCTGGATACGACCCATGCTTAGACGATTACGTGAAAATATATTACAACAGAGCAGATGTTCAAAAAGCTCTTCACGCAAGTGATGGAGTTAATCTCAAGAATTGGAGCATTTGCAAGTATATGTTATAAGCCCGCAAGGTGGTGGGCTAGTGGTAGGGCGAGTCTGGAGTTGAGGGTGAAATCCCCGAACCCAGGTTCGATCTTCCTCCCTCGCTGTTATCAACACTTTGTGGGAAGTCTGGGCTTGGGCTTCGGCCCAGGCAGTTTACCTGGTAGTCTGGTAACAGGCGATCCAGCTATCCCCGGGCATTAGTCGGAAAGCATTCCAAACTTGGGTTAGGCAGTGTGGTAGCCCATCCTTCGGGGTGGTAGTGAGTCCACATGGTAGCACTTCGGTGCGTTCCCCCCAGGGCTGACCGGATCAGCCGATCGGGTATATCAAAAAAAAAAAAAAAAAAAAAAAGTATATGTTATAAAGCTTTTTTTCTTTCTCTTTTGTATGAGATATGCATGATGGAACTTGTCTGAATATATAGTTTTTGGTATTCTGAAATTGCAGCATGGAGATCTTTCATAATTGGACTTATGTAGTGCAATCGGTTTTGCCTATATACGAGAAACTCATCGCGGGAGGATTGAGGATATGGGTTTACAGGTAAATTACATTCATGAAAACCAAATCAAAATTTAATGGAGAATAATAAAACATATTAGCAAGTGTCGTTAGCTCAACTCGTAAAGACCCTAGGCGAAGCTTAGAGGTCGCCGAGTGATGTTTGGGGCGAAATAAATATTACATGTTGTGGTTTCGGACCTGGAAGGATTACGCGCTTTGGTCCAAAACCTCCTCATATTCAAAAAAAAAAAAACCATATTGGCAGTCAAGCTTAAATGAATAATACAAATTTGTGTTTTTTCCTACACAAGTAACATATTGGGAGACAAACAAATGTCCTACATGAGAAATTCAGAAATATAATAGTCTAATATATAAGTCAAATATTCAACTCCACTTAGAATGAGGTCTGGTGGGAAGGAGTGAAAAACCAATTCGTGCGGGTTTGACCACTTGGTCCAAAACGGACAATATGATACTAATACTAACAGGGAGTTAACTTGGGCTTGGAGAACCCAACATAACTAAAGTTTTGCTATTCAAAAATATATAACGGCCATCCCACTAAACCGTTGGTTTGGTTTCGATGGCTCAGCGGTGATACAGACGGATGTGTTCCTGTACTCGGAACTCGGTATAGCTTAAACGCACTCGGATTACCCATCAAAACAGCTTGGAGGCCATGGTACCATGAGAAACAGGTGAATACATGAGTACATATGATTGATCTAGTTAACTAGTTATTTTAGATTCTTATTTGAGTTCGATCTAGTTAACCGGTTATTTAGAGTCATATTTGATGATTCTTATATTACAATAAAACAACAGGTAAGTGGATGGGTTCAAGAATACGAAGGTCTAACATTTGCTACATTTAGAGGAGCTGGGCATGCAGTGCCTAGCTTTAAACCAAGCAGCTCTCTCGCTTTTTTCTCGACGTTTCTCAAAGGTGTTCCTCTGTCGACATCGCGGGTAGAGACGGAAATCAAGAATTGAAGAGATGGTTTAGTAATCTAATATTGAGTCTTTAAATTTTCAGAAAGTTTGTGAGATTGTGGGTTTGGTTAGTTGTTACGTTAACTAGTCAGGCATGCCACAGGAATAAATAAAGATCTCATTGTAAGAGTGATGTTGTGTCATGTGTGTTACTATGTTTTATTTTTCTTTTTCTAAAAAGTGTGTTACTTTCTATGCAATGATCAAACATGAAATGCACAAAAATTGGGTTATATATCTTCTTTGTCAAGATGTAGAACCCATCGTTTAACACTTTAATCTCTGTACTAGCTTTTTTGCATTTTCAAAATGTCAAGAAATGTAAGTTTAGTGAATCATAAGCAATTCCTCTCTCATTTACACTCAGAGCTTCCTTCAAGTTAAAATTGAGTCTTTTTGCTTCTCCTTAAATTTCACTTTGATCTTCTCTTTAGTTTGCACCACATCCCATTTTTGGCATGAATCGTTGCGCCGCTCACAAGTTCAACAGATTCTGGTGATCCACGCAGTTCCACATCGAATTTCTGTAGCAACATAGCGAGTGCGACGGTCGATTCCATAAGAGCAAACTGGTCTCCAATGCATTTTCTTGGCCCTCCACCAAATGGTAAGAATGCAAAGTCTGATATGATCTGTTGTCATCATAAATACCAAACAGAGGCAACTCTAGTTAAGAGGCATTAGAGTTACTTATTTCTTCATTGAGAAAAATGATCCCATGCTGAGGGAAAGATTTGGAAGCTTTGGAATTTCACCTCATTCGGATATAGTGCCCCGGGGCTACGAGATGGATCAAAGCCAGCCCATCCTTCAATTCCATTGCTCTCCTTTGTTCTTAAAAACCTCTCGGGCTCAAAATCGTGGGGATTATCCCAATAGTATGGAGATCTATGGAGATTATACACCTGAAAGCAGATACGCAATAGGGTAGTCAAAGAAAAGCGGGGTTCCAATGAGGAAGCATAAACAAATACAGAAACTACCACTTACAGAAATGAAGATATCAGTCCCTTTTGGAACTTTATGACCTTCTTTTTCACCTTTGTATCCTCCTGTTGATAGGAAATTAGACATATCAGTCCCTTCTGGACTAAGTCATTCTCTAGTTATAGCTGAGATATGATGTGTTAATGAAAGCAAATTTGTATGTGCAGTACTTAGCAAGTGCAAAATTCGAGACATACCAGGTAAGGTTTCTGGTTTGAGAGTGCGTCTGATGAGCAAAGGTGGCTGAGGATAGAGACGAAGGACTTCTACAACGATCAGTCGTATGTACCTACAGAAGCATGGAACAAAGCGGTCAACAAATTAAATAGAGACCAAAGGAAAAGATAAAAGAGGATATCTTTCGAGTTAACGTACTCGAGGTTTTTCATTGATTCATAAGTAGGTGGACCTTGACCAAGCACAGCATCAATCTCAGCTTGAGCTTTCCTAATTTTCTCAGGATTCTGCAAATTTCTAAGAGAATGATAAGACTGTACAATGAAGTTTTAAGCAGTCATAGAAAAAATGTAAACGACTCTTAAGTGCATACTTGTGATAAAAGGAAAACAGCCCAAGTAAGAACTGCTGCTGTTGTCTCATGACCAGCAATTAGCATAGTCATCAAGTCATCCCTCAGCTGTTGAAACAATTGTGTGAAAAATAATGAATCAAACACAAAAGAGAAAAATAAAATTGCTATTCAGAAAGTGACAAATCTTACCTGCCGGTCATCAATATCAACACCACGCATATCGACTAAGAACCGCAAAAGACTTGCATCCTAAGAATCCAAGAGTACACAATCACAGGAGTTTCAGAATGGGATTAAAAAGGGAAGGATTTTTTTAACACTTGTGCGAGATAAACCTTGAGATTAGAGTAGTCCCTTTGCTGGAGCATCTCCACATCTGTTTCCTGGGAAAACAAATAACAACATGAGAACAGAACAGCAGAACCAAGAACAAAAAAAAAGTGAAATACCTGTCTTGTCTCTTTAGCATTTTGAATGAGGCCATCAAGGCAGTCGTTTATAATCTTCAGATCGCTTTGGAACTTTCGCTGCCTCGGAACTATCCATCTGGCTGGAGGAAAATTCCAATAAGGGAAGTAGAAAGTAGACCGATGCTCTGCCTCGAAAAGAGTTCCATATACTGCCTGTAATGTAACAGAAAATATCAATGAACCAGTGTACCTCGAAAGACTAATGGAGAGCCAGTTCAATAGTAGAATGATTACCTTGATCACAGGGGACTCTTTTGTGACAGAGCCAAAGTCGTAGTTGAACACGCTAAGACCTATAATATCAAGAGCCAGACTCGAGAATTCTGCTTCCAGATCCAACTCAATGGTGTCCTCCCCGCTTGAAGTTTGTTTCTCCCTTAAGAGTTTCTCAGATTTCAAAATCATTTTCTCCGAACAGTCACTAAATACTTTGACCATGGCCTCTAGATACAATTTATGGAATGCAGGAGTTATAGCTACAACACAGATTAGAAGGAAACAATCATCAGTCACATGACACTTCAATATCTAAAACATATAGATTACAACGTGCTTTTACCTCTTCTTCTTAACTTCCAGGTATCTAGATCAGCCGGTATCAACCCTTTTCCCATAATAGGCTCTAAGATCTCAGCAAGAACTCCCTAGAGAAACACAAGAAGTTACTTGATGATACTATTGAAAACAAAAGAAAGGGTTATTTATGTTACCTTGTCATAAGAAAAAGCATTTTCCCGGAGAACATGCCTTGCAACAATAGGATCTGAGATGACAACAAAGGCTTTTGGACCAAAGGCAAGTTTATACACTCCTCCATGCTTTAAGTCAAGAAAAAACCCACAGAATCAAACAAGGCTGTTAACAAAAATAAAATAAAGCATTGAGATGAGTTCTTATAGTATACCTCCAAGAACCAGTCGTAAAGAGATAAAAAGAGAGGCTTTCCAAACAAATCAGAGACAGCGCCTTGAGCAGTAGGCATTGACCCCAAACTTCCACCACTTAAAAAATTTGTCAAAAGGTTGCTTGCATTGTCCAATATGTTACCACTCGTCTTTGGCTCCATAGATTGACACCTAAAAATGTCTCACCACAAAAACCAAACTCCGTTTACTACAAGTACACTATTACCAAAGCTCTAAATCTATCTTCTCTGGTTCTGAATTTCACAATCCAAATCAAAAATCTTTCGAATTTAACTAATTTCACAGACATCTACAGATAACTCTGGATTTCAAGCAAAAAGTCAACAAAAAGCCACCAGCTTTCATCAAACCCAGACCTAATCTAAAAGGTGAGATCAAAAGAAGCAAAACCCACCTGATTGAAACAGAAGATCTCCGTGAAGAAAGGGTTTGTGGGTAGAAGAAACCCAAGAGGCAGTGATCGGTCCTTCCAAGATGAAGACCACCGCCGCCATGGAAGTAGCTGGAATGAGTAGCGGCGGCAGGAAAAGCCATGGTTGCTGCAACCATCTTCGAATGAAAAAAGATTGAACATGCTTTCTTCTTTTCTTTCTTATCTTTTTGCTGAAAATGGCCACTTCAAGCAGCCCAAGCATAACGACACAGATTGCACTTGCAATAAGATTTTCTTTAGTACTTACACTGACACGTGTCCTCCATTTCCAGATTTTGGAAAAAATTATTGCCACCTAAGAAAATCGCGGTTGTTTTATTACTGTAATTTTGGACTATTTTGGTTGATAAATAATAAATGTCAAAAATTTTAAATTTTTTTGAAAGATCGAAATGATAAATTTTTTGAGGATATATATGTTAATTATGGATATATATGTTAATTTTTGCAAGATAACATTATCATTTCGATCTTTAAAAAAAATTTAAAATTTTTGACATTTCGATCTTGCAAGATAACATTATCTCACCTATTGAGGATATATATGTTATTTTGCAAGATAACATTACCTCACCTATTGTTCAATTGATGGAAAGTGAGGTTCAAGCTTGGAACACAGCATAAACGGAGGTTGTTGGAGGGAATCACTCGTCTAACTTATTATGTTTGGAGAGGAAAGATTTCACAGGTTATCGCTGTTTTATTGATGGGTCAGGAAAAGATAAAGAACATTTTTCAAGTTTAGGATGGTAATGTTTGAAAGCAATAATAAACTCCGATACATCGGAAGTTTATCATCGGAAAAGAGAAAGAAAGAAGAAGCTGTAACAAACTTTATTCAACATCAAAACTCTGTTTACAACAACTTAACCTCTCTAATAACAACGTCATTAAGCTTATATACATAAGATTAAACCAAGATCAATAACCGGAAATAACCAACTGTAAACCGGTCCATATATCTCCAATATACCCCCCTCAAGTCTCTACTTTCGAACTGTCTGGTTTGGAAGATAGAGACTTGACAGAGACATTTGCTGTAGAAGATGATGGAATGGACCTGGATGGAGAGCCTTAGTGAGAATATCAGCGTGTTGATTCTCTGTTGGAACATGTAAGGCCTTGAGATTTCCAGCTTTAATCTGATCACGAACCGTGTGACAATCGATTTCTATGTGTTTGGTACGTTCATGGAAGACAGGATTCATAGAAATATGAAGAGCTGACTTATTATCACAGAATAGCTTTGCAGGACATGTCACCTTGATGTGCAAATCTTTGAGTAATTGCTGAAGCCAAATGATTTCACAAGTAGCTTGAGCCATACTCCGATATTCAGACTCTGTACTACTCCGGCTAGCTACTGCTTGCTTCTTAGACTTCCAAGAAATGAGTGAAGTTCCAAGATAAATGCAGAATCCTGTAATGGATCTCCTTGTGTCTTTACATGCAGCCCAGTCAGCATCAGAAAAGCCATTTAGACAAAGTTCAGAATCTGCAGAGTACATCAGACCTTGACCAGGATTAGCTTTGATATAACGAAGAACCTTATGAGCCGCCTGAAGATGAATGTCAGTAGGAGCTGAGATGAATTGGCTGAGTTGATGGACCGCAAATGTTATATCTGGTCTGGTGATAGTCAGATATAGCAAACGGCCTATTAGTTCCCTATAAGAAGTAGGATTAGTCAGAACAGTACCCATATCTTTAACCAAATGAAGTGTTGGATCCATAGGTACTGAACTAGGCTTGCAACCAAGTAAACCAGCATCTTCC